AGTCTCCCACCTGGTGTTCGCAGCAACCTCCAGGCACCGCGGTGTAAGCCTTCCTCTAGACCTCAGCTTCCCTGCCACACAGGGGACCAGGATGGGAACTCTGGCCTGAAGGGTTCCAAGGACAGTGCTCTTAACCACTGTGCTACTCAAAGCATTGCCTCCTCTGGGCCGCTGGCTCCCACACACACATCACGAGTGTCCTGTTGAGCAGGACCTCACATCCACAATATAGACTCTATTCAAACTGTGCACTGGTGAGAAAAAATAACCACAAGTTACTGGGAACTTACCACCTGCAGGGACAAAACTAAGTTCTTACATGCCCATTGGAAGGTAAAAGTATTCTCTCCCCCATTTTACACATGAGAAAATTGAAGCATAAAGAGCGAGTAACTTGTCCAAAGTCCAAGCTAGTAAGGGTAGAGCCAGACTCAACGCCAGCTTTGTCAGATCACGTCCCTGCTCTGAAGATCATTGTGCGGCACTAATGGGCGCAGCACTAATGGGCCCAGCAGCTCGGTGCGGACAGAACCCCGAGCCAAGCAAAGCCCAGACTCTGCCATTCTCAGCACGTTCTGAGAACAGCCGTTCCCCATTGAAGCCGTTCCACAATGAAACTAATGACAATAACAGTTCTGACATTTACACTGGCCTCTGAGAAACTGGTGGGCCTTCAACTCCACAAGCTGACAAACAGATTTGGTGGGAAATGCTGGTGGAGACAAAATGCCACCCTGAAAATGTACCCTCCCACAAGGGTGCTGTCTGCAGGACCCCTCAGAAGGACCTTCCAAAGCAGCCTTCATCCTGAGCCCCAGCAGCCAGGAACCACCCAGGCCCTGTAACCCAGTCCACCACGGAGAGGATGCCATTCTAGGCCATGTGTACCAGTCAAACACAGCTGTGAGCTATTATGCTGAAAATCCGTATCTGCATTAACTGGCAATTTTTTGATAAAATTGGTCACTTATTAGAGTCACCAGGGGGACAGGGCAGTTATGGTTCTGCAGTTTCTGTCTTCCATTTTCCCTGCTTTCTGCCGATCCTTACTGCACCATCTGCCTGGCTTCCTCTAAGCCCCGAGATCTTGTTCTTGTGGTTCCCCTTGCACAAGCCACAGTTCTACCCTTAATGGCATTTGGAAATTTGAATCTTCAAAGGCTGAGCTCACCAGGCAAAGCCCTTGCTTTGGGGGAAGTGGTCACACCACAAACAGACACTCTGGGAATAAGGTTCCCTTGCTGGTATGCCCCCCTTGGTGATGGGCCTAAACCCAGCCAGATAGGGTTCTTGCTACCATGCCTCTCTGGCATCCATTCTCCACTCATTCAACAAGTACTTACTGAATGTCTACTATGTCCCAGGCACCAGGATCACAACAGGGTCTCCCAGGATGCAGACCTCCAGACCCATGACAGCCCTCCCTTCTGCCCTATGCTTCCAGAGACCTGAGGGGGGAGGTCAGCGAAGGAGGCCCACTGGGCGGCGAGTGACAGGAAGGACAGAAGGAGAAGAGGAACTGAAGGCAAACAGAGCTGCAAAGAAATGCTAAACTTTAACCAATAGTCTGCTGGTCAATAGTAATATTGATATTATTATTTTTAAATTATTTTTTATATAAGATGGGATAATCCCAAAAGTAACTATTTAATGTTGTTAGGAACCAAAATTGTCAGTGAAAAAGAACACATAAACATCGAGGTAATAGTTAACAACCCTGTAATGTTAGATCTGAATGGGAAAAATCAACATTGTATTGGCCATATTCCTACAAGACAAGGCAGCATGACAAACGATCCCCAGATCTCAGAGGCTCACAACAGTAACACTGATTCCACACTCCCAGGTCTGCAGAGTGACTGCGGTTCAGCTGATCTCCACTGGTTCACTTCAGCTGGGCCAGGTCAGGCCGGGATTCAGGCTTTGGGTTAGGCTCAAGTCATCCACACTGTCCTCATTTTGGGACTCAGGCTAAATGGTCAACAGCTACCAGGGCACCTTGGAGAGCGGAAGTTCCAACAGGCCTGGTGGGAGCTTGTCTTGCTTCCTCCTCACCACTTGCATACTGTCACGTATGCCCAAGTCACAGGGCCAAGCCCAAAGTCAGGGTGGGGAAATATACACTCTCCACAGGGAAGTTATGGCAAGGAGGGAAGGAAGAATTGTGCAGAAATAACACCACCTATTCTAATTATGAACTCATGACTTTTCCTAGCCCTGTCCACTGAAGGGGCCTAAAAGCAACAGCGACCCAGTAGCTATGAATATCCTGTCACCCAGATTGTGGTTTCTAAATATATTTCTCCACTAAAAGAAACCAGCACCCCTGAAGGAATGCCCGGTTCCAGGCCCTCAGCAGGAAACGTACAGTGCACCATTGGTATATCTTGGAAGCTATAAAAAAATAATGGGACCATATTAAAAGGATATGGGAGGTGACATGAAAGGGCTCCCACTGTTTAAAGAGAGGGCAATTCACACATCAAAAAGAATCGTGACTGCAGTGGCTTGAAACACAGATTTCCAGCCCCACTCTAAGCCTGTGGAATCTGGATCTCCGAGGATGAAGCCTGGGCATCTGCACCTTTCTACAGAACTCTCCCACTGACTCAGATGCATAGCCTCGGCCAAAAGGAAGTGGTCCATGGCTTTCCTGGTGTTCTGAGCGTCCACATCACTCACAGCACACAACTTGCTCTCAGATGCTGGCCTCTGCTTCCCAGCAAGTCTTGTCTACATCAGACTTATAACTGTCCCTTACTCATGTCCTTCCAACTCTGGGGTGGTCCAGTCACAATGTGGCAGGCATCATTAAGGGGAAAAATTCCAGTTTTTAGTCTGCTAACAAGAACAAGAACAAAAAAGCTGGGGCAGCTCCCAGGGTCCTCCTTTTAATCACAGATTTGACAATGACAGTGAGGAACAAATGCTTCCATGCTTTTGCTAATATATCATAGATCCGAGACCTTAAGGTTTGGGGTTTCTCCAGATACCTCAAAACAGTTAGCTCTTAATCTTCATTCTGCATCAGAATCACCCGATAAGCTTTTACAAAATGGCCCCGATCCAGGGATTCAGGTGCAGGGGTCCAGGATAGAGCCTTGGCAGGCCATGTGCCAAGGCACCAGGTGATCCCTGGGTGCAGCTGGCTGAGAACCACTGCTCCAAGCTACGATCTTGAAAGCAAAACATCTCCACTTTAATGTCTTATCACAACTTGAAACAAGATATGCCTTGGGTAAGGCACCTTCCACACTGCAGTGCCCCAGGGAAAAGTACGCCTAGGTGTGCCTCTGAAGAGCTCCCCACCCCCTTCCCTCCTACAATCCACCTGAGCAGCGGTCTCAGCCTCCCTGGACACACCCAGGTTCAGGGTTCAGGCTCACAGCAAGCTGGGCTGCCCTCTGCGATGCTCAGGACAAAGAATAAAGATTCAAATGTCTGAACTGTCTCAGACCAAAGCTTCGCAGGACACATGATCCGAAATAGGTTCATGTGAGAACTAAGGCAACCAACACACAACTGCTCCCTGAAAAGGCTCCAAGTAGTAATAAGTTGTTTTCATTTTGTTTTTGTTTTTTTTAAGCAGCAAGAATGGATAATTCCACATGGGAAGAAAAAAGAAAAAGACTGAGTAAGCCAATTCAACAAGCAAGCATAGCTCTTCTCCTAAACCTAATGAACACAACACGTGTATGTGCACGCGCACGCACACACACAGAAACACATACAATAAAATAATACAAACCATTGCCACGTCTTCACATAAAATGCTGACCGCAGCGAGCCATACCAGTATCCTCCTAATTTGAAGTAGGTTAGATGCCAGCTCGCAGAAGGCCTGGAGCCTTTGTCTGGCTTTGTATGAAAATATGCTGTTTTCTCAGTCTAAACAGTTACCATACTGTACAAAGGGCATTATTTATGTTAAGCGTATTCTGGAATTCATATTGTGGTTTCAAGCAGACACCTTTTGACATATCTCCCCACCTACACTCCTGTTCTCTGAAATCTGCGCCCCACTCACAAGACCAGGTCCCCTCAGCTGTGCTTATTCATCTTGGCCACATACTCCTGACCTAAGTCACTGAACCAGCAACAGACGTGACTCAGCTAAGCTGGACTGAGAGTCGCTGGGCTCAGTCTGGAAGGCGGCTTAAGCAGGGATCATGTAAATGTGGGCCCTTTGGGGAGGCTGCACTGGACCACACGGGCAGACAGGAAGGCAGGAGAGAGAAGGAGGCAGAGGGAAAGGCAGAGGTGGGGCGGCTCGCATCCTGGCTGGCTCACCGTGCTGCCTGAGTTCCACACCCACAGATTCTGTCAAGTGCCCCTTTACACCACAGTGAAGTCCTCCTCTGCCTAATTCAGCTACTTTGAAATTAATTTCTATTACTTCCTAACAAAAAAAGAATGCTAACTAAAATAAAGCATTGTTATCAACTACTAAACATATCCAGGAATTTTTTTTAAAAACCCAAATCAACTTTTGTCGTCTTATGGAATATCTGGTTTCTAAAAATGTACATATGCTTTTAACGTGAATATATATATGTTTCGCTGTGGCAACTGGTTTCAAAATCAGAAACAAGGCAACCACCAGAATTTGGGACCAACAAAAAGAAAGCTCTATAGAAAAATGCATCCTCACATCCCCTTCTTGACAATGACCTGAAATTTAGTCGGGCAAGGCTGGGAAAAGGAATTATTTTGGCAAGGCCTCACTCAGGTGTGGAGGCCTTGGGTACCAACTGTGCCCAGCCCTACCAGAGTGGGCCACATGTGCTGGCATTCTCTGGAGAACCCAGACACACGGCTTCAAGAGTGATCACCACTGCGTGGGAAGCTCCAGATGCTCTCTTCAATAGGGGCTTAAATCGATAACTAGCTTTTCTAGAGACCTCGAGAGAGAAACCGAGAGACTGAGTCTAACGTGGCTGACTAACCCTCTCTTCCCAGCCACAGTATTGGTAGGACAGGATAAAGGACAAAGTACAGACCTCAGGCTGGATGGCTTTAAACACGGGTATGTCCATTAATGTGATCTGGCTCTGCAACAAAAGAGAATCAGTGTTAGAAAACACTGCAAATCAAAATTAACTGTCATGTTACTTTGAACCTATACAGAGTAATAACACTGATAACTCTGAATCTATACAGAGTAATTAAGTAATAATTGTTAAAAGTTATATTTGCCCCTTTGAAATAAAAATCAAGAAAGAACAAAGTAAAAAATTGGATAAACTTCTAAAATGCCTCTCCCATCCCTTCCCTCTTCATAAATCTTGATCCACATCCTTCTTTCTTGAATATGAGACAAACTCCCAATTTAAGAATTGATAATAGGATACAAAATTAATACACAGAAATCTGCGGCATTCCTATACACTAATGATGAATTAGCAGAAAGAGAAATCAGGAAAACAATTCCATTCACAACTGCATCAAAAAGAATAAAATACCAAGGAATAAGCCTAACAAAGGAAGTGAAAGACTGAAAACTACAAGATACTCATAAGAGAAATTAAAGAAGATACCAATAAATGGAAACACATCCTGTGCTCATGGATAGGAAGAATTAATATTGTCAAAATGGCCATCCTGCCTAAAGCAATCTACAGACTCAAAGCAATCCCTATCAAAATAGCAACAGCATTCTTCAACGAACTAGAACAAATAGTTCTAAAATTCATATGGAACCATAAAAGACCTTGAATGGCCAAAACAATCTGAGAAGGAAGAA